GTTGGTGGTGAGTTGTAGAAGTTGCTGAGTCATGGTTGGTCCAGGGTTAGCCGACGATGAGCTGCCAGGAAAAACTTCAAACACCAAAGAATTCTGGTTTTATAAATCGTTTGAAGATTAATGAAAAAACAATTAGTGGTTTATGGACGATAGAAACCATGTGTGATTCAGGTCTTGAAGACCAGGTGATTACTGCTGGTTTTCCACTGGAGAACTTGGCCAAGTTAATCGACAAGCGTGGGAGTTCTGCTGACAGACGGGCTGTAGTTCACAGAGCCAAAAAACACGATGGAAAAAGTAGAAGGTTTTTATTTATTTATTTTTTATTACTGCTGCAGCAGCCGTACCATCGATGACTCATGGTACTGGCTCTGCATCTTTCCACCAGCGCCATAAAAATCAGGAGGCTGTAATGACTTTCACATTGAGCTGCAGGGCCATAAATGAACTCCTTCTCTCTGCAGCTCCTGAGTCCCAGAGAGAAGGAGTCACAAGGCTCCTCTTCCTCCTCTTCCTCCTCTGTGGCAGCTTCATGCTGAGGTCGACTGTTGAGTCTGAATTTAATTCTACACTGTCTAACAAGCTTCGTGGAAATGAAGGAAAAGTTATTCAAAAACGATTGGACGTCCATTGGACGATTGAAATCCACGACTTTTCTTCAACCATGTGTTGGACGTGAAATCCACGACTTTTCTTCAACCATGGGTCGAGAAAACAGGAATATGAACCAGTTTTACCGTTGAAAACGTTATAAACAACAATCAGTTCTTTAGCGTTTTGGTTTGACCAAAAATATCCGCCGAACAATATAATTGGTCTATTATTAGCATAATTATGTAATAAAACCCAATAACACACTGCCTGGGTTTCACCAAATGACATGTGACCTAAAAATAGTTTCGGGGAAAAACGGCTGTATGTGAAAGTGAAAGCCATTAGATGGCAGCATTGCAGTTTATTTTATTAATTTATTTTAATAATCAGGGGATTGTTTGCAGAATGCTGGTGTTTTTAAAACTTCCTTAACCGCTACATATTGGTATGGTTGATATCGGAATCGGAAATTGAGTGTTTGGACAATATCGGCAAAAAGTTAATATCAAACAAACCTAGATTTTACCACTGGTTTTACTGGTGAACCATCCGTGGTTGATGTCGTCCCACCATAAAAAGCAGGACTGTTCCTTTAAGAGGTTCCACAGATGAAGCCTGAATGTTCTCAGTGTAGCTGAACAGTCAAACGTCCCAGAACCTCAGAGGAAAGAACATTTTCTTCCCACTCTTCGTCGCTCATCTTCTTTTCAGCACATATTTGTGCACTTGGCAGCGTCCTCCTCACCCCTTCTCCCTCTTCCTCACCCCTCCTTCCTCCTTTCCTCTCTCCTCCCCCCTTCTATCATCTCCCATTAGCTCCCGACATTCTTCTCCTTCACTGGCCCCTCCCCTCTTTTTTTCCCACATCCTCTCGGAGTCCCGGTCGGTCTCGTGCTCATGACTCACTGTTCCACATGGAAACATTTCTCTGTTGATGTGAACAACACATCGGTCCAAGCTGGGAAAAAAGAGAAGAAAAAAAAAAAAAAAAAAAAACGCTGACCAACAGTGTCTTCAGACCACTTGAAGATCACTGCGTCAGTGGTTCGTGCTGACGTGCACGTCATTAGAACATACACTGTCAGCATCGTGAAACGACGGTTAAGAATCGATATGAACGCGATTGGTTGAAATAAAAAGAAATTATTGTTCACAAAGGTGTAAGGAGTCACTGGTTATACCATGACACTGCACACTCTAGTACAGTAGGTGGCGCCTAGAAACACTGCCTTTGATCCACCGCTAAACCCAGAGATTCAGGTGTTGAAACAGAACATCGGAAGAACTCCTGTTGTTTCATAAACTGACAGTTAACCTGGAAGAACTCCTGTAAAGAAAGGAACTCTTTCCAGTCCCTGTTTTTTCTCTTCTTCTGTTGTTTCATAAACTGACAGTTAACCAGGTCAATCAGACTTTAAATCAGAACAGATCAATGGTTCGGGAAGAAATGTGACTTTTTTCCTCTTCTGTTGTTGAAGAGTATCGAATGAATCGATCACATGTGAGGTTAGTGCATCGTTACATCTCTATTGTCAGCAGATGATCTGTCACTGGAGCCCAACATTAGGCCCCCGCCCCCTTTCTGCTGTGAGAACCGTCCACTCTCCAGTGTGTGGGCCGAGCACACACAGAGAAAAACCAAATAAATCCAATAATGAAGAGAAAATGAACACATCCAGTTCAACCATGAGGAAATCGGAAAATAAAAGCCTGTCTGCTTCACTCTGCTGCTGCTGCTTCAGCCACTAATTCTTCCCATAGACAGTAAATCTGTGCAGCGTGGATGAAAACCAGGTTCATGAACGCATCATTGCTCTGAAACGAATGGAACCCAAAAGCAGGCAGCAGTACTCGTTGTTCACTGAAAACCTGTACAAATACTACAGTAATACTGCCACAGTATTACTGCAGATACTCCGTATCAGTACTGTGATCATGAGGTTCTTGTTCATAATTAATAATCCCATCATTTCGATGAGCAAAGACAAAAATAAAAAAACAGATAGGAAACACTGTCCTCTACCGTCTGTTATTGGTACTGTCTGTTGCAGTGATTAAAAAAAAAGCTTTGAAGAAAGGAAAGGTTTAAGATTTGAAAGATTGGCTTTGAGAAGCCTGCAGACAGCTGCTCTGCACATCATTGGCCACAGCCACAGATGTCTGCTGTCAATCATCAGACACACACACGCCCCCTCCCACCCCCCCCCCCCCCCCCCCCGTCCACACACCAGTACTGCTCTATGTCTTTTCCAGGTCCTTGGAGAACGTTAGGAGAACCAGCCGTTCTCCGTTCTGTCACAGAACAGTACCGTGGAACAAACAACAGTCAGACTGATTCAGGAACAGCAGAGAATTTATTCACTCATCAAAACCTGGAGCTGAAGGTCCAGAGTGAGACTGACGTCGGCTCACAGACCGACAGGACCGTCAGTACTGACTGTCAGTCAGTGTTTGAGTTACAAAAAAAAAAAAAAAAAGAATAAAAATAAATAAAATGTGGACAAAGTTCTAATACCTGCTCTGACCAACAGGGGTCAGTTAAAGGGACAGTCGTTGTTTTCTGAAGTGTGGTTGAACTGACTATGACAACTGACCAGTGTGGACCTGGATGAAGAAAACAAACTTTGCTGTTTTACATTAAGGATTTTCAAAATAAAAGACTGACTGACAGTTAACTGTCAGTTGTTGTTGATGGCCTATGCCCCCCCCCCTCCCCCAATGACTGGTCTGACACTGGACCGAGTCCTGCTCTGTGTGACTGCCGAGTCAGTGCCACCTGTGACAGCAGACTGGGGGGGGGGTGATGTAAAGACAACCACACCGTCAGAAACAGTGAACTGTCCCTTTAAAGACGGGAAACAACGGGGCTCTACTGGAGCTCTTCAACAACGACTGGGACCAGGAGGAGTCGGGTGAGGATTGTGGGTGAGGTTCTGATCATTCTGTGTGTACGGAGGATCGGTACCAGGCAGATGGAACCGGATGGTGGCTGCGGTCGCGGTGAGTTATCAGTTCTCCAGGAAAGCCACGTAGTCAGTGAGTCTGGCCAGCTGCTGCTCATTTGGAACCAGTGAGACTGGGGGAGGATCTGGGGGGGAGACAGAACAGAGGAACATGGACAGAAAAACGTCAGTCTGTCTCCATCTGAGGAGTCCAGGTCTGAGACCCCCCCCCACCACCACCCCCCCGCAGCATCACTGGCCCTCAGCCCCACAGTCAGAGCCTGAACTGTGGACCCAGTGATGCTGTTGTCAACGGGGGGGTGGGGGGGTGGGGGCGCTCTTATAACGGGTGGTGTTTTTTTAATGCACGTGTTACAGCTCTGCTGTGAAAAGAGTTTTTGGAGCGACTGAAGACTCCGTCTGTCTTCATCATCTCTGACCTTCACGTGAGGACGAGCAGCACCAGAAAAAAAAAAAAAAAAAAAGTTCTGGCAGAAAGTAAGGAAATAATGGAAACATGGGAATTTACGAGGTGGATTCAGTGAAACAAAAACCTGGGAAGGTTCCATCAACTTTCCAGAGGGATTATAACAGTAATGTTCTTAATCCACGCCTGCCTTATAAACAGGAGGGGGTGAGGAGGGGGGGCTGAGAACTGGACCGAGTTTAACTTTCTCATGAAGACAGAACAGGAGTGGCACGGTCAACAATTTACAAAAAAAACATTTAGGAGAACAACACTGCCACCTACCGGGTTTCTTGGGCATCACCATCCTGGTTGCGCGGTCAGCCTGCCAGCCTTGGCTCACCACACCTGACAGACACGGAACAAGAGAAGAAAAAAGTGAGTCACTGGAGGAAACAGACACCTGCTGAGCTGAGCTCGTCGTCACGGCAACACCAGAACCACAACAGTAGACAATCATCTTCAGCGTAACAGAAACAGAGTTGGACTTAAAACGACGTAAACGCAGTAAAGACGACCCCTGACCTTTGACTGCGTCCTCCACAGAGTAGCCCACGAAGGCTGCGAAGTCCTCTGCAGTGATGGAGGTGTAGGCCTGGGCCACCAGGCTGTAGGCCCGCTGTCGGGTGCTCTCTGTGGGGGGAGAGAGACATTTGTACGTGTCAGTGATACAGGCTTTAGGCAGTGATACATGTTTACCCCCCCCCCCCCCCCCCCCATCTGAGGACCATAAGTAGCAGTGACTGCTTTATAAAAATGTCATGCATGTTTGCTGTGCTCCAAATAATACAGTCAAGGCCAGAAAAAAACAAACAGACACGAGAGGACGGAGGTGAAGATGAGACGATGCGGACCAGTGAACTGCTCAACCACGCATGACATCACACCGTCAGACCATTAGTGGTAATCGCAGACCTTTAATGATACCCCTCTAAATCGATGCTGCGGTAATCAGCAAATGTCTCACTTTCAGCATTCCCAGATATATATATATATAAACAAACACAAAACACTGCTAAACCTGTTGTAATAGCACTTTAATTATTGTGAAGTTTTGTTTTTTTTAAAAAGCAGCTGAACCAGCAATAAGAGACTATGACTCGACTGAATGGATATCCAACTTACCTGCATAAAAACGTAATAAGGAGCCAATTTCTGTGTTAAGTCCTTCCTCTTGAACTCTGCATGGATCCTTAAATCCAAGCTTAAAAAGAAATTCATTTTGGATCTGCAGAGGCCGCTCATCTGGGCTTAGCCTCCTGACAGCTTCACCATGCAGCTGCATATACAGTGTAGGGCTGGAATCACAGGAATTTCCATTGTGATCTTCTGCCGGCCCCGGCGCTGCAGGAACTTGGCCACAGTCTGGATCTGGGATGTCAGGTGTATTACCTGTAGAACAGGCTGTTGAGAGTGAACCCGCACTACTGCTGGTTGGAAGGCTTCCCAGACTGTGTAGGCTCAGTCTGCTTTCCGGCCCCACGCTGTTTACCATGTCATTTAAAAGTTCCAGACTGCACTGTTTGTAATTGGCAGTGACAGGGTTGATTCCGCCGCCGTGATGTTGGGAGATGGCGTCCATGCTCGTGCTGGACACAGGACAGTCCAGCTCCAGCTCGTCTGAGGAGCTGCCATACATGTCATGGCCTTCCGTGGCACTGTCGAAAGTGGGGCTGAGGATGGACGCCTCTGTGCCCAGGATCATGTCATCACTCAGGGAGTCCCGGTGCTCACTCAGCCTCGCTCCAGAGCTCAGGTCATCAAAGGTGCTGCTCTCCACATCTGAGCCTGAATTCAGCCCATAGCTGTCCACACCATTCCTGTGCTCTGAGTCATCATCATTGGGGGTTTCCAAGTTGGAGTTCAAATCTGACAGGGAACAGGTGATGATGTCCTGGGACTCTGAATCAGGGGTGAAACGTGTTCCATCAACCTCCTGTTGCTTCGTCCTCTCATCTGCATTCTCAATGAGCAGAAGTCTCAACCTGTCGCTCGGATTGTCCCTCAACTCTGTGGACTCCAGAGGGGACCTGTGGTTGCATTTCATAGAAGAGTCTGCCCTCACCTTACATGCGTTATCATCATATCCATACTCTCTACTGCCATTTTGCTCTGTCTTTGAATTTTCTTTCCCAATGATGCGCACAACCGAGGTGGACTTACTGCTGACTTTACCCATACGGAGCGCCACCTCGCCGGCCGTGGTGTCCATTTTGCAAAGCACCGGCCTGGGATGCGAGGGCGTCAGTCTGTCGTGGACATGTATGCAGCCCCGGTGCAGATCGGCTCTCACCCACTCGCGATCGGCGGGCTGCAGCTGCATGTTCTGCCGCTGCTTCAACAGAGTCTTCCTGTCGAGACTCCGTGTGTGAAGGGACGCAGAAGACAGGGCCGAGTTCATCTTAGAGCCGCAGGCGGCTGTGACAGCTGAGGCGGCGGCGGTTGCAGCTGCGGCCGAGAGATTCCTCTTTAAGCGCCTCCGTCTCAACAGGAGGGTGCTGGAGTTGCTGGACGAGCTCCGGCCATTAGACGAAGCGGCTCGCTTTGACGCACTAGCTCCTGCTGGAGTGGAGGAATGATGGGGGCTATTCCCGTTCGTGCACTCTCCGCGGGAGGGTGCCGAAAGTCCACCACCATCATCTACGAGAGTCCCGGGGGCGACAGACACTCCGTTGGGCTTCTTCATTAACTTCGCCGCGCCTCCATCCGACGCGCCGCCGTCAGTGAGAGCCTGCACACTCTCCATCTCTGCAAATGAAAAGTCCCTCACTGGAAAAAACAGCAGCGCTCACTTGGTTATGTCGCTACATTTAAAAGCCTGAATGCGTGTCCACCGTGCAAAACGTCCGCCGACTGGGCGGTTTTGCAGACTTATCCCACGAGTAGTCATTCACTCCTCGCCGTCCTGCCACTGTCAGAGTCCCTTTCGCTGCTCCAACAAAAGTATGAAAAAAAACATTTTGCAGATTAGACTCAGTGAAAGGAGGCAGGGCGCACAGGGACAGCGCAGGGCGGAGACGTGGATGTGCGCTCCATTTGGACCGGAATACTGTACTGGAATATGAAATGAACGTCGGCCGACCTCCTACGCAAATACTGGCTGATATATATTCATGAGGAGGACACAAGATGGGGACGCTGACAACAACGCAGTGGGGTGTGGGAAGTGTATTGCATGCTGCACATCCCCCGTCGGCCGCACCGGCGAGAAGGCTCGACCACAAAACTACATAACCCATGGTGCTTTTCCTCAAGATAGGTGGTGAAAAAGTGAGAGGAGTAAACATAGCTCGTATAAATGTTTGGTTTGCAGATGCGGTGGTACGTCATCTCCAATGCAATGCGATTGCATGCACGTGAATAGGTTATTTACCTGTCCCGTTAGTCGCTCAAAACAAAAACACATAAAAACACATATAAGTGTTAAAATATGTGCACTTTTTGTAGTTTGGTGCTTCTTGTTGCAGGTCTTCAATTTTTACAGCACGAAATAATAAAGAAGACTCCATTAAAGTCATTTTAGACGGCTGGCGACAAGCCGAATAACTTGTGCATCTCATCAGGACGCCATTTCACAAGGACAGAGCGCCTCTTGGCTAGGAGCGCTTTCTCTTGGATTTGTCGCCCTCTATTGGATCTCATCAAACCTCACACTGAAGTTCCATTATTGTTGGCAATGTAAAATATTAAATTACTAAGACATGATTTATTCTGTGGCGCTTTGGTCCAGAGGCAATGTCTCTGTCATTGGTGTGGAACCCCAGGGTTCACCTCCTGGACAAGTTCGAATCCCGATTAGGGCGGTTAATACCTTCCAGTGGACTCACCACCCGCAGGAAG